GAGAGCAAGGCGAAATTTCATCTCGCAGGAGACACTGGATGCCACAGATGATTGTTGTGCGGCTTGTCTGGCAGGGGATCGAGATTTGCACCATTCTCAGGTGCGCAGAACTCGGTCTTTGTTGAGAAAGGACAAGGAACAGTTTATTAGGAATCTTGCTGAGGTAGCCCATTTCTTAGTAAATGACCTTCGTCCTGCATACCAAGCCCTGAGAAAGCTGAACTCCAAGCCCTCTTCACAGGTGACAGCAGTTCGCTCAGTAAGTGGACAGATCATCTCAGATCCTGTTGCGGTGCGGGAACGTTGGGCTGAGTATTTCGAGCAGTTGTATCAGGTTGACCCACCAACAGTTAACTTGGATGCGGGTAGTGCCGAAATTCCGTTGCCGGACCCACCAATCAGTGAGGATGCCCCCTCTCTAACCGAAGTTAGGTGAAGAGTGGTAAAGCAGCTGGTATATGCGGCATCCCAGCTGAACTGTTAAAGGCTGGTGGTGAACCTATGGCGCGGGGGTTGTATGCCGTCCTGGCTGCCATCTGACGCATACCGAGACCTGATTGGTTGACCACGGACACCTCACGGCTCGCCCATTGGACCGCAGGCTCCCCTCGTTCCCGGGTGGCTGGCACAGCTCAGACCCACTTAAGCTCCCGCACCCGGGCCGAGTTCATCACTCACGATCCTCCAGCCGAGCAAGACACAGCAAGCAGCAACTAGGCCTACCCAGGCCTTAGCCGACGGGTGAGCCGTGAGGTGTCCGTGGTCAACCAATCAGGTCTCGGTATGCGTCGTCGAGAAGCTGCTGATGGTGAGGGCGAGAGGACAGGCTGTGGACCTGGACCCAACCTGGGGGAAGTATGATGCGCTGCAGGTTGCGGGGGTCGGCTACACACCAATGCTTTTCAACACTTGCTAAGACTGGATACTGGGCAGAGCTAAACTTCAAAGTCATTGTGGAGCAACTCTGGGCAATGTCAACGTTACCGACCTTGACTTATCTGATGATGTTGCCATTCTATGTCTTTGGAATCCTTAGTGGTGGCTCTTGATGCATTTAGTAATGAAGAGAACTTGTTCAGTCGGTACGTGCTTGCAGCGAGTACATTGAAGTCAGAGAGAGCTTTACATACCTTGGTAGTGTAGTTCATAACTCTGGGCTGTCCGACCATGAAGTCAGCAGACGGATTGGCCTGGCAGCAGGGGTCATGAACTCTCTTGACAAGAGTATTTGGAGATGTCGGTCCCTATGCAGATGGACCAAGCTTCGTGTCTTCAGAGTCCTGATAGTGCCAGTTTTGCTATATGGTGGTAAAACCTGGACACTATCTTGCGCCTTGGAGTCTCGACTTGATGCCTTTTGTAATAGGTCCTTGCGCCGGATCATGTAGTACTGTTGGCGGGACCATGTGTCCAGCCAACAGCTGCACCGTGAGACTGGCACAGGACCTATTACCTGCACAATCCGTCATCGCCAACTCAGGCTTTACGGCCACCTGGCTCGCTTCCCTCAGGATGACCCCGCCCACCAGGTTGTCTCTGTTCAAGACAACCCTGGGTGGAGGAGGCCTGTGGTTCGACCTAGGAAGTCGTGGCTTGGGTAGATCAATCAAACCTGTCGAGAGGAGCTTAAGATGGGCCGAGTCCCTGCCTGGCGACTTGCCATGAGGGATCCTCGCAAGTACAAGCAAAGGGTGGATGCGGCTATGCGCCCCCGTCGGCGTTAGCTCCGCAATGATGATGATGATATATATATATATATATATATATATATATATATATATATATATAATATAATATATATATATGTGTGTGTGTGTGTGTGTGTGTGTGTGTGTGTGTGTGGTGTGTGCATATATATATATATATATATATATATATATATATATATATATATATATATACTTTGATTAGACATAATATAACTAGCAGTGCTATTGAGACCTCTCCCGGTATTTACACGATTCCTTGCAAGGATTGCCCGAAATTTTACATAGGCGAAACCGGTAGAACTTTTGAAAAAAGAATTAATGAACATAGACGTGATGTCAGATACGCCAGAGAATCTAATGCTTGTTTTATTCATTTACGCGACGAAGGGCATCAGTTAAATTGGAAAGACGCCAAGCTAATTCATAGATCGTCAAACTCGTATGAAAGGAAAATAATTGAAGCCCTTTTAATTAGAAAATTGCCCAACTTTAATTTGAGTGCTGGTCAATGGGGATTAGATGATATTACCTCATCACTTGTTAGCAAAGCCTTCCCCAGACTCTTCGACCTTGACCCTCCCCCTGAGACCTGATTCAGATCTTGTTCTTCCTGCCTCTCTATCACTATATAAACTTGCCAAAATTCTCTCCTAGTATCCATTTCGTTTTTTTTGTCTGATGAGGAACTCGAGAAGAGTTCGAAACGTCACGCTTATTCTCAATTCTCATTGTGGCTAGTTTCATTTTCATTTTCGTGTTCATGTGATTATGTTTGTGCTTGTGTTCATATA